TTGGATTCCTTCGGCGTTCACTACAGCGCCTGCCTGGGAGAGCATGACGAATGCGTGGACCCCAAGAAGGAGACAAACTCTTCTGCACCGTCGAATCTGGTGGTTATCGGAGGATTTCGGACCTGTGGCACAAAACGGATCTACAGCCTTCTGGAATCGCATCCCAACGTTGTCACCCTTTCAATTCAGGTGGGTGCGATGCCCAATTTGCAAACCGAGTTTGAGGAGTCAGTCTTCGCTCTGGCGAAAGCCCTCCAAGTGCCTACGGGTCGTCCCTTGATCCAGGTCTGCGACGAGTTTGAATTCAAACTGCCGACCTTCACAGAGTGCGATCGTCTCGTGAAGAAGATAAGGGGCTGGTACAACACGTCCATGCCAGCGACACTGGTCGTCACGGACCCCTCCTTCTTTGACCAGAGTGTGGCTAGTTCTGGAACAGAAGCTATCAGTAATGGCAAGCTTTTCATGACTGAACCCGAAACCAGCCGAAATCCAAAACGACATCCCTGATAGATGCTGGCATCACGCTGGCCGGGCAAAGTCAAGCTGCTCTTGATGGTGCGTGAGCCGGCAGACTTCTTATGGGCAGCCTACAACATCTGGACGCTGGCCTGCGTAGTGTTGTGATGTTTGGGCCTTTCATTGGCGGAGTCTGGGTTTCGAGATTCAAGTTAGGAGACAGTTGCGTGCCTTGCAACCCAGGAAGCTGCCAGGTGAGCCGAAGGGCGGCAGCCAGGATGGCAGCACGGATGCGCCCCTTGGACGCACGCAAGACGCCCTCTCCACGCCGGTCCGTGAGCCCGTATACTTGGAGCCCCATTTTCCACGCATGTGCTGCAGGCCAAGTTTTTGTAGATATTCATGCGATTGCAAACCCCAAATCGCAGACGGTAGCGTCTTTGCAAGTTGTCGGCTCGGGCATCTTCCAGGCTTGCAGGCTTTGGGGTCCGGAGTTAGCAGGTCAGACATGGTAGGCTCTTTAGGACCCAAGATTGCTTTCTCTGGGCAATTCATAGCAAACTACAGGGTTGGAGACTTCAGGTTTGCGACGAATAGGATTTCGGATGCGCGGCTTTTGTGCAGCTTCAGGAAGATTCACGTCCGGAGCCCTGAGCTGTTCGACGAGTTGGTATTGGCGGACGGCAAGAAAGAGGCCTGGGCACCCCGGGCCAACAAGATCACCGGGCAGTGGTTCGACCAGATCAAGAGCGTGAAGGATGTCTACAGGAATCTCCTCCTCTTGAAGTCTGAGGACGGCTCAGTTGTGAGTTTTGCTGTCCGGTCTGCGTGGGAATCTGTAAAATACTCGTAGGACTAACACAGAGGGTTCAATCATGGCATCAAGTTTGTGTACTGCACAGTTTTTTCTCATCCCCGCAACCCCACATCCTAAACTCAAACCTATAACCGAGGAGACGCCCACGCACGGGAAACGTCATTACTCGTTGCGATAGTCTGACAAGAGCCACACCAGTAGTTTTGGGGAAGGAACAAGAACCCCACACATACCCCCTACACTAAGCTGTTTGCGGAGTGCAGGACGATAAGGTGAGACGAGGAGGGGCAAGCCCAAACACGAAGGCAGACAAAACGAGACAGGGGGGAGGCAAGTGTGGAAAAACCCGGGCATTGGCCATCTCCCCCATTGTCTAAACCCTAACCCCTAAACCCTAAACGCGCGGACACAAGGAGAGGCAAGGTCCGCTAGTCTCTTTCGAGTGCTTAGCCTCCTTCCGCCATCTTCGACTGGTTTGCTCCTCTTTGTCAAGCTTTTCTGGTGTGAAGGCCCCTGGCGTGCTCCTGTTTCTCAAATTCAACCATTTTCTTGCGGTTTACTCCTCTGGAAGTCCCCTCCTTGTCAGAGTTTCTCGAGTTTCTTTCCGGGCTCCTGTTGTGAAATTGTCTGTCTCTTCCTCAAACTCTCCTGTGTGTTTCGGCAATCGATTTCGACCAGTTTGCCTCTCTTGCTCAACGTTTCTAGTCCTGTTCGATTGGTTCGTTCTTCTTCCTCAAGGTCTGCTCGTTGTCAAGCTTTTTTTTGCAAATTTCGAGCGGTTGGTTTCTCTTTGTCAGATTCTCTTGTACTTGTTCAATCGGTTTCCTGGCTTTTCTCCGATTTTTAAAGCTGCTTCGAGCTGCTTGCTGCTGTTTTGCAGTTGTTCTGACGCTCGGCTGGCTCGGCCTTGGCAAGGTCTCCTCTTTGCCAATACCTTTCGAGTGGTTTGCTCCTCGTTCTCAAGTTTTTTCTAACCTCTTTCCTGCGGCGTGCTCCTGTTTTTCAACCTTTTTACTGGTCTCTCAACTTTTCTGGACTCTTTCGACCGGTTTGCCGAAGCGCCGAAGGCTCTTTCTCAACCTCTCGTCTCTGTCAATTTCCCTGGTCCGTGTCGAGCTGTTTGAACTCGTTTCTCAATCTTCTGCTACTTTGTCTCAAATTCCACTCTTTGTCAGCTTTTGTAGTCCGACAGATTTGTGTTTTCTGGCTGGTTGGCTTGTCTTTGTGAAATACTCTCGTCTCTTTCTTGCCGAGCGGCTTGCGCCACTTAGAAATTCTCTAGCCTTTCAAGCGGTTGCTCCTACTTGTCGAAATATTTTCGTCCATTTGGACTGGTTTGCTTTTCTTTCTCAAGTGCCTCCCTTTGTCAGGTGATCAGTCTCTTTGGAAGAATTTTGGCTTTCTTGCGCTTACTCTCCCTTTGGGCTGGTTCTCCCTCTTTGTCAACTTCTCTCCGCTTGGTCATATTAATTCAGTTGTTCCTTTCGAGCACTTTGGGCTTGGATCCTTTTTTTCTTAACCTCCCGAGTCCGTTTCGGCCGGTTTGCCTCCCCTCCTCAATCTCTGTTGTTTTCATGCTTGCAGCCTCTTTTCGGGCAGTATGTGCCAGTTGTTCAAAACTTCTAGTTTGCGTGCGTTTCTCAGATCCTCCCCTGTATCACACAATTTTCGGTCCTCTCCACTGGCTTGCTACGCTTTCTTGAAATCTTCCCTGCATCAAAGCCTCTGGTCTCTTTCAAAAGGTTTCTCGTGTTTCTCAAATTTTCTAGTCCCTCTCCACTGGCTTGCTACTCTCGTTCCAAATCCCTACTGCATCACATGCCCTAGTCTCTTTCGGGAGTTTTGCTCGAGTTTCTCAAACTTCTAGTCCCTCTCCACGATCTTGAGTCGTCTTGCTCGAAAGCTACCCTTCATCAAATTCTCTAGCCTTTTTCGTGAGGTTTGATTGTGTTTCTCAGAATCTGCAGTCTCTCTCCACTGGCTTGCTTCCTTTTTTTGTCAAAATCTACCCTTCCTCTAATTTTCTAGTCTCCGGCGGGAGGTTTGGTTGTGTTTTTCAATGTTTCTAGTCCCTCTTCACTGGCTTGCTACCCCCTTCTCAAAATTTACCCTTCATCAACATCTCTAGTCTCTTGCGGGAGGTTTGGTTGTGTTTCTCAAATTTTCTAGTCACTCTCCACTGGCTTGCTTGCTATTCATCAAAATCTACCCTTCCTCTAATTCTCTAGTCTCTTGCAGGAGGCTGGGTTTTGATTCTCAAATATTCTCTTCCTTTTGCATGATATTCTCTAGTCTCTTTCGAGAGGTTTGCTCGTGTTTCTCAAAGTTTGTAGTCCCTCTCCACTGGCTTGCTCCCTCATGCTCAAATCTCCCCTGCATCAAGGTCTTTATTCTGTTTCGAGAGGTTTGCGTGCATGGCTCAAGTTTCTAACCCCTCTCCGCCGGCTTGCTACCTCTTTCTCGAAATCCCCCCTGCATAAAGGTTTTGTAGTGTCTTTCGAGAGGTTTGCTAGTGTTTTTCAAATTTTCCAGTCCCTCCGCACTGGCTCGCTGCTCTCAAAATGTCCGTTGCATGAGGTTCTCCAGTCTCTTTCAAGAGGTTTGCCCCTCGTCTCAAATTTCTAGTCCCTCTCCACTGGCCTGCTTCGTCTATGCTTCAAACCTCATCTGTAGCACGGCAGGACAGAGACCAGAGAATATGAGAAAGAGGAGCACTGCTCGCAAGAGACTACAAAGTCCTGGCAAAGTGGAAGCAACCCAGTGGAACGGAACTGGAAAGTTGGACAAAGTTGGAGAAAGTTGGAGCAATCGGAAGAAACTGTACAATTTGAGAAGGACTAGAGAATCTGACAGCAAGCCCATTAAACCTTAAACCCTAAACCGTAAACCGCCCGACAGAGTCCCGAGTCTCTTTCGATCCTTTCTTGCTCTTCTTTCCCCCGCAATTTTCCCAACTCCTTTCCATTGTTTTGATTTCTGTTTCGCAGAAATGTATACTTGTCTCTGTAGAACGATGTTTTCTTGTTTTCCGATTTTATCGTCCATTTCGACTGGTTTGCTCCCTAGACTCAGACAAGCCCTCCACCACTCCCAAATAAAAGGATAACAGGAGAGAAAAGGGGAGCAAGGGGAGACAAGAGGCCACGAGGGGCGACACTCGTTCAAGACCCGGCCAAGGCCCCCCCACCAAAAAAAAAAGCAGGAGAAGGAGAAAAGAGGAGATAGTCGTCGAACAACCCCGGCATTGGCCACACCCACCGGTGCAAATGAAGGTCGGCAGTCTCTTTCACTTTGAGACACCATCCAAGACCCCGAACAGGTCCCGCATGAAAGCACGCAAGGGGAGACAAGCGTCGAAACCGCAACACTGGCTACCCACGCACGGTGCGAAACGTCGGCATTCACCCCTCCACAGCGACATGTTCGGGGAATAAAGCCCCTTCAGCAACTCGTCCAAAAGTTCCAAACCCACACAACGTCCCTATAATATGGTATCTTGCGATTTCTGCCTTGGCAAACAGAAGATAGTACCCTCGAGAGCCCTCGGAGGATTTATCGGACAATCTGCGCGCAACCTTGGGGAGGATGGGGTCGTTCTTTGGAGTGAACGCATCGCTGTTCCCTTACGAGGCGTCTTGGATCTCCAGGTTCTGGGATTTATGGTTCCTCGGTTTCCGTTTGGATCAGGGGTTCCTGAACCCTAAACCCAACACCCTAAACGCTGAACTCTAAACCCAAAACCCTAAACCCTTTAGGGTTGGGGCTGAGGGTTGTGGTTTGGGTTTCGTTTTCCAGGGTTCTGGCTGCAGGCTTCGGCCTGCAACCCTGAAGCGTTAAGGACGAAATGACCCTTAAAAGTAGGGGCCCTATACGCTTATGCCATGAAGCCGGGGCATAGAACCAGCATTCCTGAGCCGCTCAGGGCCTCAGAACACCAGCCCAAACATGCAATAGCCTGCAATCCTGGGCCGCGGCTCAACAACAAAGTTACCACCTCTCAGATAAGCATGTTGTCGACAGCTCAGAAAAGTGCTTGTTGGTCAACGTGTCAAGCCTGCCCCTCAAGTCACACAGACCTGAATGCACTGTATACGCTGTGTAGCAACCTTGAACCTTGCATCCTGAGGTGACAGACGGCTATTCGAACTCACTCGCTTCGCGTGTCGCACGAAAGCCTGTGCTGCTCTTCCGAATTGTGCGGGAGTTTAAGCTTTGAGTTTGAGGATCTCCGGAATCTAGGTGCTCCGGGTTCTGGGGTTCCGGGGTTTTTGGTCTTCTCTCCTTTGCTGCTGCACGTTTAGTCTGGGTTTACATCGCCTGTTGCAGGCCATGTTCCTTTCCTCCTGAAAACGTCGACTTGGTCTTTGTCAGTGAAGGTACTTGAGATGATATTGTATTAACGTGACTATGCTCCGGCTTTCTCTCTGTTTCTTTGCCATGTCCAACTCTAATTTAGTTGCATCTGATGGCTAGCGGCAGCCGCCGTGCTTCGTTTTATTTTTATTTTTTTTGGGGGGGGCGGCACGATCCTTGGTAAATTGCAATAGATTGGATGGATGATTCGTCTGGGTCCCCAAACAGCGACTGTCTCGGTGTTTCGTGCGATCGCCACGATCCCTTGTAAGTTCCACCACACTCGGCTTCTTTGCATTTCTTCGCCCTCCGCTCCAGGGACCCTTGCGCTACAGCATGTCGGTTTCCTCCGAGCGGCGCGATAACTTGTGAATTCCATTGCAGGTGGCTCTTTGTGTTCATAGTTACCTCACGCCATGCTCGTTTTTGGTTTTCGGGCGGCGCGGTCCACTATTGACGGCGTGTCCGCGAGGTGTGGGCAAGCGAAATGGGGGCTGCAGAAAGGGACTCGATCCTGAAACCGGGGGGGAAGCTAGATCCGTTGCAAATTCCAGCAGAGAAGCGCGTGCTGCTCCGGAATGATGGCCCTCTCGAAGGATGCGGTGGGGAACGACCGCCCTGTGTGCGTGTGGTGCCGCTATGCTTCACGGAACGATCCACGGTAAATTCCAATGCAGCGCTTGCACGCTGGCCGCGATCCGTTGAAAGTTCCAATCTACACAATCCGCCTTGCCGCCTGCCTGCTAGGTGCGAAACGTCAACACTGTCGGTGGATGTGGCGCCTCGTTCTGCTCCGGTAAGCGGATTGCTTATAAATTCCCATACATGGCGCGTGTGTTACGGGTCTTGATTCCGCCTGTGCTGGAGGGGAAAGCATTTTGGGCTTGCTTCGGAACCCGCCAGACCCTGGGGGCAAGCATTGTGGCCGTGCTCCTGAATGTGCCTGTATTTGGCATTGGGGGAGCGCATTTGGGGCTTGCTTCTGGATGCGGGGGAAAGCAGTCATGCCGTGCTCCTGAATCCGCCAGTGCTTGAGGAAAGCATGCTGGGTGTGCTTCAGAATCGGCCAGCACTTGGGGGAAAAGGGGAAAAGCAATTATGTGGTACATTGACAGCCTGCCGGGGAAAAAGCTTGCAGGAATGTTAGTGCTTGCCCGAGAATTTGTCTCAAGCTCCCTTTTTCTTCTTAGGGTTGCATGTCCGGTGCATCCCTCAAGTCTGAGAAGCACGAGCCGGCTTCAGGACGGGTGACTTGACCCTGGACATGCCTGATGTGCAAGTCTTGGTCAATCATCCTCTTGATGCAGGGGAGTGTTTCTGGCATCATCGGACTTTGCTTCACCGTGCAGAAAGGGGAGCGTGGATCACACTCGCCCAGACCACGACCTGGAAAGGTAGGACTTATCGGTTCTTCGTCATCGTGTTCTTGATCCCCGTTAACAACGGACATCTTTGGCGAGATCTATGCGCACGACCCCATAGGCATGCCGCAGCTTCAGCAATTCAAGAGAAGGGCTCGGGTCATGGCGCGGGGCTTGGGAGAAAGCGGCGGGCACGAAGCCGGGAGTTTCGAACCACACATCCTGGCGAGAAATCAAACTCCAAAGCAAGCGTCTCCAAAGATGGAGCCCCCATGAGCCCCCGGTCGGTCACCGCGAAAGGCATGCCCAGCTGCTCAAAGCTTCCGACACAGTGCAAGGCCCACCAAGCTTCGCGTTGTCCGCGTAGACGCCTCTGGCCGCCTGGATAAATCTGTCCTCGCCGAGTCCACTGCCAAGGGAGCTCTGGCATGCGACCATGGAATCGGGGAAAAAGAAAGCCCAAGTCCAACCCAGGCACAGACCACGAAAGGCAAAGCAGAGCTCCTCGTCATCGGTTGGCAAGCAAAGCCCTTTCCGTCATCAAAGAGTCTCTCTCTCAAGCTCTCTCCGCCTCTTGGTCGAGTTTCTCCAGCGAGAAGCAGAAAAGCCCCGATTGGTGGGCGCCCGATCGGGCCGGCGTCCTCCGGCGTCGTTACCTCCGAGCCCTCAAAGGAATGAATGAGTGCATGCAGGCATACATTCATGATTCACAGTTTCTGTCGCCACTTTTCTGGGTGTCAGCACTTTCGGGATACCCGGCTCCTAGTTCTCGAGCATTTAGAGCACTGCAGAATCATTTTGCAACCCCATGCCAAACCAAGATGACCGTAGGTTTCGGGCTTCTTTACCGGTGCGTGGTGTTTTCTGGCCTTTCTGGCATGCATCCCCCCAAGAAAGTTATTTTGCTGATGAAGACTGACGAAGAGAGAAGGTATCAGATTTCTGGATGGAGGCCCATGCTGTGCAGCACCAGGCAGCTCGGCGGAATTGGGTTCATGTTCTACTCGCAGGTGATCTGAGACCGCTTAGCTGGCTTGACGTTCAGATTCAGGGAGTGCTGAGGGAACGTGACGGCCTCAGCTTCTTGCGTTGCCAGGCGCTTCATCTACTCCAAGACGCGAGATGTTTGCGAAGAGTTGGATTCCTTCGGGGTTCATTACAGTGCCTGCCTGGGAGAGCATGACGAATGCGTGGACCCCAAGAAGGAGACAAACTCTTCTGCACCATCGAATCTGGTGGTTATCGGAGGATTTCGGACCTGTGGCACAAAACGGATCTACAGCCTTCTGGAATCGCATCCCAACATTGTCACCCTTTCAATTCAGATGGGTGCGATGCCCAATCTGCAAACCGAGTTTGAGGAGTCAGTCTTCGCTCTGGCGAAAGCCCTCCAAGTGCCTACGGGTCGTCCCTTGACCCAGGTCTGCGACGAGTTTGAATTCAAGTTGCCGACCTTCACAGAGTGCGATCGTCTCGTGAAGAAGATCAAGGGCTGGTACAACACGTCCATGCCAGCGACACTGGTCGTCACAGACCCCTCCTTCTTTGACAAGGGAGCGGCTTGTTCCGGAGCAGAAGCTATCAGTAGTGGCAAGCTTTCGTTAACTGAACCCTAAACCCTAAACCCAAAACCCAAAACGACATCCCTGACAGATGCTTGCATCACGCTGGCCGGGCAAAGTCAAGCTGCTCTTGATGGTGCGTGAGCCGGCAGACTTCTTATGGGCAGCCTACAACATCTGGACGCTTGCCTGTGTAGTGTTACGTGTTGTGATGTTTGGGCACTTTCTTTGGCGGAGTCTGGGTTTCGAGATTCAAGTTAGGAGACAGTTGCGTGCTTTGCAACCCAGGAAGCTGCCAGGTGAGCCGAAGGGCGGGAGCCAGGATGGCAGCACGGATGCGCGTCTCGGACACCCAAATCCTAATCCCTTAAACTCTTAAACCATCTGAGACCCTGGAGAGAAAGGATGCTTGAAACCCTCAAAAATTGCAGCCCTCAGGAGAAGTGCCCCTGAAACTTTGACAAAAAAGGGGCGGCCTCAAACGGATTGAACCCTCGTGATCAGTGGCTTTCAACCCTCACAACAACAAGGGCGTGGCCGCAAAATGCGGCAAGAGGCGGGTTTTGAGCCTTTGCAGCGCAGCGCAGAAAGCAATGAGGCCTTCGGTCAAGACCTCTTCTTCTGTGTGCAACCGAAGGGTTTAGGGTTTAGGGTTTAGGGCCAATACCCTTTCTGGGGCTTCTGCTGGATCCGTGAGCGAAAAAAAAAGACGGCTCTTCCACCGCTCCGGAACCTAAGTTTTCGTGGTAGGCCAGCGGATGTACCTTGGTTGAATCCTGAAGCTCAGTCCCCAAACCCTGACCAGCTCGGAATATTCAGTCTATCTTCTCGTTCCTTTCAGAATTCCTCGTGGAACGACGGGTTTTCGGTTTTTTTGGAAGTTCAGGCAACGCCTATGCCAAGGACAGGCTTGTCCCAAACGAGAGCAAAGCCGGGGCTTGGGGTTTAGGCTTTATGGCTTTCATGACAGTGACAGCGCTTCATCGCGCTGTAGGAGTTTTTCGTAAGTTGAACCTAGACCGTAAACCCTAAAACCCCTGGGTTGAAGGCTTAGGCTCTTAGCCCTAGAGATCTCAGGAAGATTCACGTCCGGAGCCCTGAGCTGTTCGACGAGTTGGTCTTGGCGGACGGCAAGAAAGAGGCCTGGGCACCCCGGGCCAACAAGATCACCGGGCAGTGGTTCGACCAGATCAAGGATCTGAAGGATGTCTCCAGAAAACTCCTCTTCTTGAAGTCTGAGGACGGCTCAGTAGTGTGTTCGGTTTCGGGCTAAGCTATGCTGAAGGCCAATCCCATAGCCCTCAATGCGCCACTCAAGCTTTATTTCAAGCTTTCGATCACTAAGCCAAAGAATCACCCTTGATCCCGACATCCTTGTAGAAGAGCCTTCAGAAGGTGCAACATAACAAACCATCGACATTCGCGGTTGTCAAGGACGTAAACTTAAACCCTAAACCCTAAACCCTAAACCCTAAACCCTAAACCTCTTAGACCCTGAGACTACAGACTTGGAGTGCCCCCCCCCTCACCCCCCCCGAAAAGGATCTTGCGGACGCGTTGACCGCAACCTTGGCGAGGATGGGCTCGTTCTTTGGGGTGAACGCATCGCTGTTTCCTTACGAGGCGGCAGGGGTTTTCGTGGGTTTGAGGGCTTGGGTCTTCGGGTGTTTGTTGTTTTGTTTGTTTTTTTGGTTTCGGTTTGGGTCAGGGATTGAAAGTTGAGGCTGAGGCTTGTGGCGTTTGGCCCTTGAGGTCCTCTCGTTAACGCCTTTGGGAGGATTTTTCTGGCTGCGGGCTTCAGGATTTTTTAGGAGTTTCTTTCGACTTTGGAGGCTGGAGGCTTGTGGATGTTGCTTTTTTAGGGTCTAGGGTTTAGGGTTTATTTTTCGGGGGTGGTTGATGTTCGGCTTTTACACGAAGCACCCAGTGTTACAGGTTCGAGCTTCAAGGTTCCAGGCTTCCTTCGTCTCCGGCGTTCTAAGGCTTTTGCCTGTTTTCTTCGCCACCGCTTCGGCAGAATGCGGGGCGAGGATGTAGAACACGGACCCTCTCTTGAGCATAATCTCAAAAAGGCGTGACCCACCCGGAAAAAAAAAAACCCGCACCTGCCCTTCGAGATGCGGCTTTGTCAGACCCTTTAGGAAGCTGAGTGCTCAAGCAAGTTCCTCATGCAAAGCTAAAAAGACACCCTGAAGCCCTATGTTGCCTTCGTAGCCTTGAGCCTTGAGGTGATGGACGGCACCTCGCGCATGGCACAGCTGCCTCTGTGGCTCTTCGGGAAGTTCTGCGGGAGGTTTAGGTTCAGTTAGGGTTCAGGGGCCCAGGGGTCTACATAGCATGTTGCACAAAAATTTTTCTATCGTCTACCCAAGTTACGAGACCAGTGCGGCAGCACTTTGTGACGCGTGGCAGATTTAGGAGACCGGACGCAGGATTTCTTCCCTGGGTTTGGGTTTTTTGGTAAGCATCCATATTCCCAAGCAGTAGCCAATATTGTGGCTCCGTCATGTCTCTCCCGCCGGAACATGGAAGCCTGCTGGTCTCCCCATGGTTTCTGGGTGGTCTCCTAGGGTCTCCTGGCTCTTGCTGTTCTCTTTGCTTGGGGTTTAGGGTTTAGGGTTTAGGGGTTTAGGGCCTCCTTGTGGCCTCCCGGACGATCCTGGTGTTCACCTGCTGGTCCGTGCGGTGCGCGCGGGGTGCAGGCAGGGTGCACCCGAGGCTCTCGTGGTGTGAGATCTCGCTGTTCAGGGATCGCATAGTTGACGAAGAGAGCTGAAGAGAGTCGACGAGAGAAGGTATCAGATTTCCGGATGGAGGCCTATGCTGTGCAGCACGAGGCGGCTCGCCGGAAAACCTGTCGTCGAATCATGAAAGGAAGCTGTATCAGGCATCTTAGGTGAAACGAGAAAAAACATCATTCAGGATCGGCTCTTGTTTGCAATTTCTCACGCACCTGCATCCCCCCTTCGGAGCCTTTTGGGGTTCGGCATTCCGTGAGTGTGGTGGGTTGGCCCATGCCGCTTGAAGCTGCCAGGCGGTTCATCTACTCCAAGACGCGCGATGTTTGCGAAGAGTTGGATTCCTTCGGGGTTCACTACAGTGCCTGCCTGGGAGAGACTGACGGCTGCGTGGATCCTGTGCCTGGGTCATCCAAGATGCCTATGCCAGGAAGCTTTCCGTACTTGCCTTCCTTGCCGTTGAAGGCCGGTACCTGATTTCAGCTCACCATGCCGGAGCCCCATAAATGCTAGGCAAATGCAACAGCCCGCACGCCCCAAACCCCCAGCTGCAAGTTTGAAGCGCGATGAAAGCCGCTGAAAGCGAGCGTCCCAGGAGTCTGCACCGTCGAACCTGGTGGTTGTCGGCGGATTTCGGACATGTGGCACAAGGCGAATCTACGACATGCTGGAATCTCATCCGAACATTGCCACCCTGTCAATTCAAACCGGTGCGATCCCCAATCTGCAACTGGAGTTTGAGGAGGCCGTCTTCGCCCTGGCAAAAGCGCTGCAAGTCCCTGCGGGCCGTCCCTTGATACGGACTTGTGACCAGTATAAGCCACACCAAGCACAGACCTTCAAAGAATGTGATCGTCTCGTGACCAAGATCAAGGGCTCGTACAACACGTCCATGCCAGCGACACTGGTCGTCACGGACCCTTCCTTCTTTGACAAGGGAGTGGCCTGTTCTCAAAGAGAAATTACCAGTGGTTCCAAGCTTTTCATGATTGAAGCCGAACCATTCGAAACTCAACACGCCGTCCCTGACAGATGCTTGCGTCTCGATGGCCGGGTAAAGTCAAGTTGCTCTTCGTGGTGCGTGAGCCAGCAGACTTCTTGTGGGCAGCCTACAACATCTGGACGCTGGCCTCTGGAGTACTGTGTGGTTTGGTGCTGTCTTGTCCCCGTCCGTGACCTTTAGCTAACACCCTAGAAACCCTCGAAACCTACGCCCACTTTGCAACCCAGGGTGCTACCCGGCGAGCCGAAGGGGCAAGATGGCAAGACAGGGCCGAACCTTGGATATGCACTCGTAAAGCGCTGGCCTATCCTAGGGTTCAGGCCTAGGCTGAATGGTTCGGACACACGCGCCAAAGGGATCTGTAGCAAGCAAGAACTCTTTGAGTGCTATGGTAGCCTACCGCAGAGTGTCCAGAAATGCTTATGGGTTCAGGGCTTGGCAGTGACGGCCGGGTTTAGCTGTAATGACAGCTCCACCGGCTTGAGACTCGCGGCTTACGGATTCCGCCCCTTCAGGAAGATTCACGTCCGGAGCCCCGAGCTGTTCGACGAGTTGGTCTTGGCGGACGGCAGGAAAGAGGCCTGGGCACCCCGGGCCAACAAGATCACCGGGCAGTGGTTCGACCAGATCAAGGATCTGAAGGATGTCTCCGCGAACCTCATGTTCTTGAAGTCAGAGGACGGGCCAAGAGCGTGCGGTGTAATATAGGGACCCAAAAACAAACCAATGCTATTTTGGGGGTTCCTTACTATGATAATAGTATCATGAGCCCCTAAACTCTAGTCTGATAAGGCCCCTCTGTTAGTCGAATGCCAAGCCCTTCGAAGCCGAGTTGATGCCCCAAGCGCTGCCAAAGAACCAGACCTGAGCTCCCGCCTGGCATACAAGCCTCTAGCAAGGATTCTTTGCGGACTTATGGTTTCCATAAAAACCTTGTATTGGTTCGAAGCTGACGGCGGCATAGGAATGGTTCGAAGTTTACGGAGGTATAGGCGAAGCCTGAAGACAAGAACCCTCAGTGCCCTCGAAGGATCTCGCGAAGACTTTGAGTGCAACCCTGGCGAGGATGGGCTCTTTCTTCGGAGTCGACGCGGCGCTGTTCCCTTACGAGGCCGTTGGGTGTTCACGCACTGGGACCTGGGATTTTTCATTTCGGGTTTGAGATGGTTTGGGGTTTGCAGTTGCATGGTTTGGGCTCGGGTATGCTCGGGTCCATTCATTTTAAGATGAGGCTTCTGGCCTTTTTTTTGGGGGGTTTCGTTGGATCCCGGATGCTGGAGGTTCGTGGTTGGGCGCTTGGTGGGTTCGGATACTCGACGAAGAGCTTTCTCCGAATCTTCGAGCTTTACTACAGGGCTATCAACTGTCGGGCTGTGAAGGTTTCTGTCTTTTTGTGTGTCTGGTGCGCTTTCGCTACTTACAGGCAGTTCCCTGACAAGGTACACGCGAGTTCAGAAGGATATCGTAGAACATAGACATAGACCCTTTCCTTGAAAAGGCTAGGCAGGCCTGCGGCAAAAGGGGCATACACCCCGGAAAGGACCCGCTCTAAACAAGGAGCCCTATAACCCTACGAAAGGCGCGCCGCAGGTTCAATCAGCTGGAGCGAAAACACGTCCTCCTTGTCACAGAGACACGACTTGTGCAAGTTCTGTATTGAGCGCGGCGTGGCTCTGCCCCTGAGGTGACGGACGGCTACATCAACTCTCTCGCTGCGCGCGTCGCACGGACGCCTCTGCTGCTCTTCGGGAAGTTCTCCGGGAAGTGAAGGCTTAGGTTTGGTGACGTGCAAAGTCTAGGCACTCAGCGGTTTTGGGTTTTCGAGTTTGCGTCCTTGCTCCACCCGTCTTGTGATCAGCTCCTGTGATAGCTTGGGATGTCATGGATGCTGGACGTGGGTTGCTCGCGCACTTAATGGTCTACATAGCCTCTCGCCGACTCGCATATCCTTCTCTGACCATCGCTGTAGCATTGCAACCGCCACTAAGGAGACCCGATGTTTAGGCTAGCCTAAACCCTAAACCCTAAACCCTAAATGTTACTAGACCTTAAACCCCAAACCCTAAACCCTAAACCCTATAGGCCGGCTAGGGGTCGTAAGCATTCCCCCACCCCCCCCTTCCCCTTCTGGCCGAGTGGAGTCGAAAGAGACAAGGTATCAGATTTCCGGGTACAGGCCCATGCTGTGCAGGACGAGGCTGGGGGAGCGGGGATCATGTTGTATTGGTAGGGAGATGGTCGGTAGCTTGTTTAGGGTTTAGGGTTTCGGGTTTAGGGATGTATTGCTTCTATAGGAAGGTGGTAGGTAGCTTGAGTCGGGATGTGGCAGACGCCAGGCGCTTCATCTACTCCAAGACGCGTGATGTTTGCGAAGAGTTGGATTCCTTCGGGATTCATTACAGTGCCTGCCTGGGAGAGCATGACGACTGCGTGGACCCCAAGAAGGAGACAAACTCTTCTGCACCATCGAATCTGGTGGTTGTCGGAGGATTTCGGACATGTGGCACGCAGCGAATCTACGACATGCTGAAATCCCACCCGAACATTGTCACCCTTTCAATTCAAGCTGGCGCTCTGCCCAATCTGGAGTTGGAGTTTGAGGAGGTGGTCTTTGCCCTGGCAAAAGCGCTGCAACTCCCTACGGGCCGTCCCTTGATACAGGTTTGCGACGAGTTTCAATTCAAAGTGCCTACCTTCGTAGAATGTGATCGTCTTGTGAACAAGATCAAGGGCTCGTACAACACGTCCATGCCAGCGACACTGGTCGTCACGGACCCTTCCTTCTTTGACAAGAGAGTGACTTGTTCTCAAAGAGAAGCTATCAGTAGTAGCGAGCTTTTCATAACTAGCCCAAAAGCGTTCGAAAGACGTCCCTGTCAGATGCTTGCCACACGCTGGCCCGGCAAAGTCAAGCTGCTCTTCGTGGTGCGCGAGCCAGCAGACTTCTTATGGGCAGCTTACAACACTTGGACGCTGGCTTCCACAGCATTGAGTTTTGGCATTTTCTTTTGCGAGCTGGGTTTGCAAGGAGAGCTAGAGAGGACAGTTGTTTACTTTGCGCAGCCGAGGCCGCTACCAGGGGAGCCGAAAGCCAAAAGCCAGGATGGCCGCACGAACATGAACCTTGGACGCACACGCAACGCTTTGGCCCTCACGCTGGGGGCCCAAATTAACTCCAGACATGCCCTAAACCCTAAACCCATGGGTTCAGGGCTCGAGGGTTTCGGAACTTATGGGCATCATAGGCATTGAGGTTGGCGAGTTCGGGATGGCCTTAGTGGCGTGCTTTAACAGTGGCTCGGAGGCCTTCGCATGTTTCCCCTTTCGGGTTTTTGGGGTGTCATGTTTGCGTCTAGTTCCGACACTCCAGGAAGATTCACGTCCGCAGCCCGGAGCGTTTCGACGAGTTGGTCTTGGCGGACGGCAAGAAAGAGGCCTGGGCACCCAGGGCCAACAAGATCACCGGGCAGTGGTTCGATCAGATCAAGGATCTGAAGGATGTTTCCGCGAAACTCCTCTTCTTGAAGTTCGAGGACGGCTATGGTGTGGTCAGTTTCGGACATCCTATGCTCAGTCAAACCCTTTAAAACCTAAATGCACCAACGCAGCTCAAGACCTAGTTGAAGCCCCAATTCCTTCCTATGCTCAGAAGTCAAACCCTCTAAAACCTAAGTGCACCGAAACAGCTCAAGACCTAGTTCAAGCCCCAACTCTTAACCCAAGGAATCACAACTGAACTCCAAGACCCAAAGTGAGTGGTCTTAGGCTTTGTCAGAACAACAACCTTGTAATGGTTCGGAGTTTAGATTATGAGAGACACATACCCTAAGCCCCCAGGCAACAGCCTTGCCGTCGAAGGATCTTGCGGGCAATTTGACCGACACCTTGCCGAGGATGGGCTCCTTCTTCGGAGTGAACGCATCGCTATTTCCCTTCGAGGCGGGAGAGTTGTTAGGGTTTAGGGTTCAGATTTTTTTTACTCTTTAATTTTTGTATCACCTTAGATTGACTTATCGGGTATGATCTCGCATGATCTTGTCTGATCTTGTCCTGCATTCTTTGTTCTGCTGCATATCATCATATTCTATTCTATCCTGGTCGATGGTCGATAGGATATGGCAAGACATGGTATGGCTTGATATGGCATGATATGGTATGATATGATATGATATGATATGATATGATATAACATAGTATGATATGACTGTTGTGGTATCACGTATGTCATTGGTTACTAAAGTTTGTTGTAGTATACCATCGTATATGTTGCCATGTTGTGGTTTATTCTTATAGTATAGTATACTGCATAGTACATCATGTGTTAGCCTGGTTTTACATGTCGTTGCATGCCATGATATATTATAGTCTTTATAGTATACTTGAGTATATCATGGAATGCCATAGTGGTGTCGCTTATTACAGGTATGTCGTAGTACATGAACCTACATGATAGCATGTTAGCGCATGTCATGGTTCATTATTGTTTTGTCGTGTAGCATTTAGACAGTGTAACCAATTGCGGACCCCACATTTTCCGAGCTCGAATGCTGCTTCCCATGATTTTTCAGTACCAACACCCACAATAATCACAGTCTGCACAATCATGATTCTCAAGCTTGCTTGTAAGCTACCTTTCATCTTCAGATCAATCCATCCCGTGTCGACGCTGCGGTTATTCTTCATGTCCTATAGCATATTCTAGAAGATGGGATGGGATTATTACATCTCGTCGGTAGAATCGTGCTTGTCTTGACCCCTGAAATAAGCCATAACCATAGCAGCGATCAACCTAACCCTTGCATTTCAACGTACGGAATCGCATATGTATCGCGCCATTTCTTGCAGATTCTCCCTGCACAGTTCAACACGAAACATGTGCTTGTGTTTCATTGACATGGGTCTTGTGTATCATCATTCGGTTGGTTTGTAATATGTATTTGATCTTTTTAAGGTTTTTATTCCCTTGTAGTGAAGGTGCGGGTGGGCCCAGGGCACGAGGCTTGAATGACTTGGTTCTAGGTAAGTCTCGGCCCCCCACAAAAATCTGCCGCTAGCTGTAGCCAAAAAATAGTTGGGCAGGTGGGGGAAGGCGCAAGAAAAAAAGACTAAACTCCAGATTTTTTTGTTTTGACTGGGTTGGTCGTGGAGTCCACCCTAGCCATGAGTTGAATTTTTTAGACCAGCGGCGCGGCTGGCGGTGTCGGTTTTGCCGGTGCTTTTTGAAGGCGCATAGTCGGGAGGCGGCTTGGTTTCGGTTGTCGCGGGGCTGTCGTAGGGCCTAGGGATTAGGTTTTCGGTGTACGGCTTTGTTGAGTTTCCGGTCAAGAAGCCCGCCCCTCCCACCCCGCCCTCTCCACCCCCTCTCTGGGCCAATTTTCTTTTCTTGCGTCCCACCGCCCCCACCCCCATTTCAGCGACAGCTCGCCTCAGTATTCTCGGGGCTTGGGGCCTAGACCAGCCAAGAGCCAAGTGATTCAAGCCTCTTGCCCAAAAGCTATTTGGTATCATTAAGTTGAAGGTATCTTTGTGTCTTTATCTTAGAAGCATCACTGTATGTGTGTATGTGTCGGTGTATGGAAATATGATATATATATATATATACACACACACATACACATATATACATACACACGCACATATACACATGGGGGTGAGGACATTGCATTTTACGTCTAATGTTGGCCAAAATCTAGAGCAAGTCAAAACAGGATACATTGTAATTTAGTGCAATTTCTTACATCACATCTTGGCATGGTATAGCTTTTCACTTTGCACTACATTATGTCATATTGAACCGCGTAACAATATATAACAATTGGTTTCATATTTTATTACATAATACGATATCCTGCTATATTGTACTATTTCAGAAAATGTTCGGCGGATTTTCATCTTGTTTTCTTATATCATATTTTCTTCTAGCATCTGTTATATGGTATCATATCGTATGGGTTTTATGTTGCTACACGTATAGTGCCTCCATACACTGTCATGCTGAACCCTGAAGCTAAAACTTGCACACAGGGAGTATGACATAGAGCTCTTCGAGGGGTAGCCGAACCCCAACATACGCAGACTTCAGAAACCGTCATAGTACAAGATAGCATAGTATAGTAAGGTATATCATAGTATAACGTTTGCTGTAGTACAATATAGTAGAATGCACAACGGACCTACCTTTCCAGCCGACGGGACCTTGCGATAGTCTCACAGCAGGCTCAGGAGTTCGGTGCTTGTCAGAGACCCTTATGCCCTGTACGAGTTCTGTATAATTCCACCGAGGTGACGGACGGCTACATCCACTCACTTGCTTCCCGCCTCGCGCGGACGCCCCTGCCGCTCTTCGGGAAGTTCTCCGAGAGGTTAAGATCTTGGCTCTAGACTTCAGGGATGTGTACTAACAATCGCTATCGGGCTTTATTCCGCCCCTAAGTTGACAAGGCGAATTGTCTTGTAAAGCAACAAGAGAGTAAAAACAAACGACAGCGTCGATGTCCTTTCAGGGTAAGGCAAAAGAATTGGAATAGCAAACTAGCGTTCCAGCAAATGGGTTGGGTTTTTCAAGCTCCCTCATGTGATCGTCTATTTGGACAGGTTTGGATGTCATGTATGCTGGATATTTGACTAGGCGGTATACCTGTTTGTCGAAGATTTGTTGCTCGTTCAGGTGCGGGGGTCTGCATAGCCTGTCGATGCCTGTCGCACAGCATGTCTTTCGGACTGTCTTCTAGATCCTTTTAGGAACTCATTGCAGCCCACTCCAAACCAAGGTGACCAGATGTTTGGGCTTTGCTTATCGGGTATAGTGTCTTTTGCTTTC